GCTCTAAAAAGTTTTCTTTCTGGCTCTCCTTCGTTGGAAGAACTCTCTCAGTGCAGTACAAAATTACTGATCTGACCGAGGCAAAAAACACAACTTTTTTAGGAAGAATTATTCCGTTCTAATAAGTATGGGAACATAGCAACTGCTAAATATCATAACTGAATCAAAATGGCCTGTCGAATAGAAATGCTCACAATTGAGCAGACAGTTCAAACGGAACTCTAGGGTAAGCCATACCCCCATTAATATTGTTTCGCATATAGTAACTGTCAGCTCTTTATATGGTCTCGAGGTATGTAGAAATAAACAACAGTATCGACATAGTTGACCAAACCTGACTGTGCAGACATCTACGTTCATTATTTGTTTTCTTACCATTCAGTCAATTTCCATGACCCCTTATTCTTTTGAGCCGCGTCACACAATGTCTTCAACGTTCCCGATTCGTGCCCACGTTTGACCTTCAGCAACAGACAGCCTGAGTCTGGGGCAGAGTCGTTCCTTGCACTCGTGACAGGTCATTCCTGGACGTCCCTGTAGTCCTCGGTAGGTCGGTTGGGAAAGTAATGGCTTTTTCGCCTTCCTTTCTAAAATCATTCGCAGCGCGTGTCTAAGACACCCCAGCAAAAACTTCTTCATCTGGAGAAGCAGCGGCTGTACACCAAGGATCTTTCGGACATCTGCACTCGGGACCATGTCGAAACGCAAAAGGCCAGCGACTCGTCTAAGAAAGCCCATTTCAGCAGCTTGAACCTGAGGTCAGGTTTTCGGTAATGACCTTAAGTGATCATCGTGAAGAAGATCGAATTGAACACCCAGGGCTCGTTTATCAGATTCGTCTTTGCCTTAGTAACAGCGGTTCACGCCAGTACGCGCAGGACGCTGCTGGTTATTCCAATTCACCGGTCGATATCTTTTCCTCATTTTCCATTACGATTAAAGCTGGCTCTGAGATGAGTGAACTTCTCACCTAGTCCACTGTTTCTCCGCTAATCTGAAGAAAGCAACGGGCAGGAGAACGACAAAGCACTAGGCTTTTTGTTTTAAATAGTTCACAGGCATACCGGCAACGTCTCACTCAGCTGCGAACCTTTCTAGGGAGCACTGAAGATCAGTTTCAGTAAATACCAATAAAACAAGGTCGTCTGCCAACAGCGACCTTTTCATCTTCACATCTCCTACACCGATACTCTCATCGCCTTGGCAGCTTCTGACTATTCTATACATGTACAACACAAACAGGATAGGGGACAGGACGCAGCCGTGGCGGAGACCAGTGCGAACACTGAATGGTTTTGACTTAACGCCCTAGCTGCTTGTGACTATTTTATCCATCTACAACACAAACAAAGAGGGGACGGGACGCAGCCTTGGTGGAGACCGGTGCCAAATTTGAAAGACTTCGACTCAACGCCATTTACTCTGACGCAGCATCTGCTATCAGAATACAGTGATTGGATGACCCTTAGCAGCTGGCCATCTATCTCGATGCACGAAGGCATGTCTACAGACTGTTGCGTGGGATCTGTCATAGGTTTTCTTTAAGTCAAGAGGGCACATCTTTACCGGATAGACGTACTCCCACGATTTCTCAAGAATCAAATATTAGGCGAATATCTGATTTAACATGTTTCAGCTTTCCTAGAAGCAGCACTGCACTCTTTGGGTCTTAGAGCCAAGTTTTCACGGCACCTTATTTCTGGAACTTTTTTGTAGACTTTTCTCCAGAGGCATAATAAAATAATGCCGCAAAATTAGAGCAGTTTCGATGGACCCCCGTTTTAAACAGAGGCAGTATCACCACATTTTTCCAATCCACTGAAGCTTGACAGATGCATGTAAGCCACATGACGCCCTGTTTGCCTAAAGCTTTAAGCGTTTCATGGCGGATTTAATCGATTCCAGTAGCCTTGACACTTTTCAAGTTTTTCACATCTTCGCTGGCTTCATCTTCTGAAAGACTCGTATATGTTCCCTGCTGTTTCTTTGGCGAGTCATCCTACGATCTCTCAGGATTAGTGAGTTCCTCTAAGTACTCTTTCAACTGCAAAGTATGTCTTCATTCGTGATAAAAGGGAGTCCAGACTCGTCATTCAGAATTCTTGAACTGCCCTTCTTCCCGTCTCAGAGGCGGGAGAGGGGGGCTCATCTACCAGAATGACTTGCTTGTCGTCTGGAAATTCGGCTTCAACACATCACTGAACTTTTCGCAGGAATCAGGTTTCGTCTTTGTGACTGCTTTGCTGCTGCCATGTGTGCTTCTTCGTACTGCATCCGGGTTGAAGACTCTTTGCTTCCAACCCACTGGTGAATGCAACCTTCTTTTCGGTGACAACCACATGAATCTCTTCAGTTCGTTTGTGACCTCCTGGCAGCAGGCGAATAGGTTTGAAACCAAGCATTATGTGGTAGCCCTGAGTAAGCCACACGTACAGAGCTTCCACTCAATCCTTAAATTAGCGGTAGTCAGCAAAGGGATTTGTTCAAACCGTCTGCGATGCTGTTTACGTGTTTCGCCCTCGTATGCGCAGAAAATACTGTTTTCCATTTGTTGTATTATATGATTTGCATTAACTCCCTAGAGCGAAGCATTAATGATGTTTGTACCTGATGTATGAGTGTTTATGGAGGAGGTGCAATTTTTCCCACGAAGTGTTCCTCACAAAGATTTCTCTCTTGTCTGAATACTCGTACTTTTGTCAAAGTCAAATGGAGGACGGCCGCAAGACAAACCAAG